TATAAAATATATTCTTAAAAACATATTTTATAAACTTTATTATAAAACTTTTTTTAAAATATTAATAAACTTTTATAAATTAAAAATTTAAAGATTATATTTAAAAATTTTTACTATTAAAAATTTTTCAAGATTTTTTAAAATTTCATGTTTCTGAAGCTAAAAAAAATTTTTATACTTTGTACAAGTCTAAATTTTTATAAGTAAATTGTAAAAGTGTTACTAATAAAAATTGACATCCTTTATATAAACTAAAATATTGTATTAAGAACTATAGGCTTAAAATTATTATTTAAAGAGTTTGCCAAAAATTTATAAATAATTTTTTTGATTAAAAATTTTTTCCCAAATTTGTCTATTTTTAGCTTATAAGTAACATATAATTTTTTTTTTAAAATATAAAATTAAATACTGCTATAATATAATTCTTATTTTCAAATATTATCAAATAAAATTTTATTTAAACATTTTAATATTTAAAAAATATAGATTATAAGCATATTTTTAACAATTTTTCAGACAAATTTGTCTAAAAAAACTTACAGATTAAAGAATAAAACTATATATATTCAGTTTTTGTTTGTCTTATTATTATATTGATACTTCACAATTCAAAATTTATTTTAGATACTATTGCTATTGCTATTTTATACAATCTAATAACAACTATTAAATCAGAATTATCAACAAATAAGAACCTAGATTTGAAAAATGCACTTCTTTTTAGTGAATTTATTGGTAGTGATGAGTTCAAATATAAAGATAATGATTATAATGATGTATTTAGTAACGAAACTATGAGTTATATGTCTGGAAGTTATGATAAAAACAATAGTTATGATTTTGAAAATATTGAAACATTTATTTTAAATAAGTTGAGTTTTGAAAGAACCAGAATCTATACTGAAAATAAAGAGATTGGCTATAATTCTTTTTAGAAAAAAGATGATAAATTTGAAGTAGACTTAGTATTTTTAGCAGAGCTAGAATTAATATTGACCTATTCATATAATAATAGTATAGTGTTAGATGATAAAACTCTTATTGCTAATAATAGCAACATACAGCAACTATTATTTTATATTATTTTTAATTTTATCAATGATCAATTTTAACAATGCTGTAATATAACACTTAATCAACATTTTTTTAAACAACTTATTGGTATATAGAAAATAGACAAGAAAGCATTTGAAAAAACAAAAAATAACAAGCAACTCTATAGCTTAGGAGTATGTTTATTATATTTTTTTTTATGATGCTGCCAAATTTTATTTACTAAATATTAAGAAAGAATGATCAATTAAAAGAAGTTGGGTTTATATTAAACATTATCTTTTTTGTAATAAGTTTAAAACTTTTTTTAGTTATAGTAAAATTTGCATATAGCATTTAGTATCTGTAATAGACAAGAACATGCAAGTACTCTGCTCTAGTCTTAAAGCTTGTTCTGTTTTTAAATTAAAGACTATCTTAAACATGATTCTTAAAAAGTTAAATAATGAACATCGAACTTAATACATATATTCTTAGTAGTTTAATAAGAATAGTAAACATTTTTATAAGGAGTGTGGCAACCTAGTGAAGTGGTCAGGTTGTCAACCCCCCAAGTAATAGGTTGGGTGTTCAAATCCCATTGACAGCGAAAATTTG